GAGATATGCAGATTTTTTAATTAGGAATGAATTCAAAGTTTGTGGAGAGCAGGCAGGAAAGTGAAGTTGAGGCCGAGATGAGATGGGAGGTAAAAGAGGTGGGGGAGTGGCATTGTTAATCAGGGATGGTATCACAGCTGCAGAAAGGGAGGTCATGGAGGAGGGTTTCTCCACTGAGTCAATATGGGTGGAAGTCAGAAGCAGGAAAGGAGCAGTCACTTTATTGGGAGTTTTCTATAGAACCCCCAGTAGCAACAAAGACACTGAGGAACAGATTGGGAGATAGATTTTGGAAAGGTGCAGAAGTAAATGGGCGACTTCAACTTCCCTAATATAGACTGGAACCTCCTAAGTGCAAATAGTTTGGATGAAGCAGATTTTGTCAGGTGTGTCCAGGAAGGATTTCTGACTCAACATGTAGATAGGCTAATGAGAAGGGAGGCCATATTGGATTTGGTGCTTGGCAACGAACCGGGTCAGGTGTCAGATCTCTTGGTGGGAGAGCATTTTGGTGATAGTGATCACAACTCCCTGACCTTTACTATAGTCATGGAGAGGGATAGAAATGGACAGTATGGGAAAGTATTTAATTGGAGGAGGGGAAATTACAATGCTATTAGGCAAGAACTACGGAGCACCTATTGGGATCAGATGTTCTCAGGGAAATACACAATAGAAATGTAGAAGTTGTTTAGGGAGCAGTTGCTACAGGTACTGGATAGGTTTGGCCCACTGAGGCAAGGAAAGGATGGTAAGGTGAAGGAACCTTGGATGACAAGACATGTTGAACACCTAGTCAAGAGGAAGAAGGAAGCTTACTTAAGGTTGAGGAAGCAAGGATCGGACAGGACTCTAGGGGTCTACAAGGTAACCAGGAAGGAACTGAAGAATAGACTTAGGAGAGCTAGAAGGGGGCATGAGAAAACCTTGGTGGGTAGGATCAAGGAAAACCCCAAGGCTTTCTATACTTATGTGAGGAACAAGAAGATGGCCAGAGTGAGGGTAGGGCCAATCAGGAATAGTGGAGGGAACTTGTGTGCGGAGTCAGAGGAGGTAGGGGAGGTCCTTAATGAATACTTCACTTCAGTATTTACCAGTGAGAGGGACCTTGACATTTGTGAGGACAGCATGAAACAGGCAGATATGCTCGAACAAGTTGTTGTTAGGAAGGAGGATGTGCTAGAAATTTTGAAAAACATGAGGATAGATAAGTCCCCTGGGCCAGACAGGATATACCCAAGGTTGCTATGGGAAGCAAGGGAAGTGTTTGCTGCCCCTTTGGCAATGGTCTTTGCATCCTCACTGTCCACTGGGGTAGTGTCAGAAGATTGGAGGGTGGATGAGCCGCCCTTGTTCAAGAAAGGGAATAGGGATAATCCTGGAAATTACCACCAGTCAGTCTTACTTCTGTGGTGGGCAAATTATTGGAGAGGATTCTGAGAGATAATATTTAGGATTATTTGGAAAAGCACAGTTTGATTAGAAATAGTCAGCATGGCTTTGTGAGGGGCAGGTCATGCCTCACAAGCCTTGTTGAATTCTTTGAGGATGTGACAAAACACATTGATGAAGGTAGAGCAGTGGATGTGGTGTATATGGATTTTAGCCAGGCATTCGATAAGGTTCCACATGGTAGGCTCATTCAGAAAGTAAGCAGGCATGGGATTCAGGGAAATTTGGCTGTCTGGATACAAAACTGGCTGCCCAATAGAAGCCAGAGGGTGATAGTAGATGGAAAGTATTCAGCCTGGAGCTCGGTGACCAGTGGTGTTCGACTGGGATCAGTTCTGGTACCTCTGCTCTTTGTGATCTTTATAAATGACTTGGATGAGGAAGTGGAAGGTGGGTTAGTAAGTTTTCCAATGACATGAAGGTTGGTGGTGTTATGGAGAGCTGTTGTAGGTTGCAATGGGACATTGACAGGATGCAGAGCTAGGCAAAGAAGTGGCAGATGGAATTCAACCCAGAAAAGTATGAAGTGATTCATTTTGGAAGGTCAAATTTGAATGCAGAATACAGGGTTAATGGCAGGATTCTCAGCAGTGTGGAGGAACAGAGGGATCTTGGGGTACACGTCCATAAATCCCTCAAAGTTGCGACCCAAGTTGAGAGGGTTGTAAAGAAGGTGTATGGTGTGTTGGCTTTCATTGGCAGGAGAATTGAGTTTAAGAGTCATGAGGTTATGTTGCAGCTGTATGAAACTCTGGTTAGACCACACTTGGAATATTGTGTTCAGTTCTGATGACCTCATTTCCGGAAAGATGTGGAAGCTTTGGAGAGAGTGCAGAGGAGATTTACCAGGATGCTAGCAGGACTGGAGAGCAGGTCTTATGAGGAAAGGCTGAGGGATCTAGGGCTTTTCTCATGGGAGCAAAGAAGGATGAGAGGTGACTTGATAGAGGTGTACAAAATGATGAGAGGCATAGGTAGAGTGGATAGTCAGAGACTTTTTCCCAGGGCGGAAATGACTATTACGAGGGAGCATAATTTTAAGTTGATTGGAGGAAGGTATAGGGGAGATGTCAGAGGTAGGTTCTTTACACAGAGAGTGGTGGGTGCGTGGAATGCGCTGCCGGCAGTGGTAGTGGAGTCAGATACTTTACAGACTTTTAAGCGACTCTTGGATCGGCATGTGGAGGATAGTAAAATGTAGGGTATTAGTAGGATAATATGTTGGCGCAACATCATCGGCCAAAGGGCCTGTACTGTGCTGTACTGTTCTATGTTCTATGTCCTATGAGATCAGCCATGATTATATCAAGTGGAATAGCGGGTTTGAGGGGCTGAATTAACTACTCCTGCTCCTGTCCTTTTATTTATTCCTGGCTTGCGCTCAGGTTAGATGATATTCTTAAAAGTGACAACATTTGTGTGACAGCATAATTGTTCTATTTTAATGGAAGTAAATCTTTTGGGGTTTTCATTCCTGATATCTAAGGCATACCAGGTTTGGGCCAGGTGCTGGAAAATGGGATTAGAATAGTTAGATGGTTGTTTTTGACTGGCATGGATGTCATGGGCTGAAAAGCCTTTTTTCTGTGCCATGGATTTCTATGACTTTATTTCCGTCAATGAAAGTGCATAGCAAGTGAGGACAACTTCACCTGTGAAGTAAGTTGTTTTATTGGCGTACGAAATTATGACAGTTAACCACTCGCAGTTAAGTAATCTCTTCAATGTAGTAAGAGACCTCAAGACATTTCAGCATGAGTGAAACCAAATAAAAATTGTCTCTGAGTCAAAGATTAGGATGGGTGATAACATGTTTGATCAAAGCGGTTCAGACATACGATGTATTCTGTACTGCAATATTCACAATTGAACTATAACCAGAAGAAAAATAGTATAACAAAATAAAATCTTGCTAGACTTTAACAACAGGGAAGAAACAATTAGGACCAATGAGCAAGCCCCTTTGTTGACAGTTGGAATGGATTTAGCTTGAGTTGGGGAATTTCACAACTCGCGAGACCCATCTTGGTAGAATATTTCCCTGATACATTATCACCCAGTATCCTCCTTAGGAAAACCTCACCGGTCAAGTGGAGATGAAAGACAAATGCACTTCTCATAATTTAATATGGCTGTCACCCCTATGCACTTGATACTCCGACTCTCAAGCCCATTCCAAGCTTTTAAATGTCCTCACGTATTGCTGCCTTAGAAAAAACAAGCATGCTTCTTTTCATACATCACATCAAAGATAGCAAATAAATTAATTAACTCTTTTAACTGTCAATAAAGCAGTAAACTTGTCAATCCCTATCGGGTCATTAAACTTTCGAAACTCAGCCAAGCATCTATTACAGTATAATCCTAACCCTCAGGGTAATACCATATTCATAGAGGTCTACAGCAAAGAAAAAGGCTGTTCAGATCATCAAATTAGTGCTGCTCAAAAATAAGCACCTAATGATTCTAATCACCTTCTTCAACACTTAGCACATAGCCTTGAATGCCTCAGCTTCACAAGTGCACATCTAAATATTTCTTAAATATTATGACACTTTCTGTCTCTCTCACCCTTACAGGCAGTGAGTTTCAAGTTCCTACCACCCTTTGGGTAAAAAAATGTTTCCTCGCACTTCATCTACACCTTCTGCCAGTTACTTTAAATTTATGCACCCTGATTGTTGATCTTTCTACCTAGCGGAAAAGTTTATTCCTGACTACCGTGTCTATGTCACTTGCAATTTTATATGTCTCAATCATATCCCCTCTCAATCTCCTCTGCTCCAAGGAAAATAACTCCAGCCTATCCATCCTCTCTTCATGACAGGAACTCTCCAGCCCAGGCAATATCTTGGTAAATCTCCACTGTACCCTCTTCAGTGCAATCATATATTAACAAAGAGCTCTGTTAACACAGAATGAAGAGATACTTTTCATTAAACCTATGCACATCAAATGAATAATTCCGGCAGTGACAGTAACAGCCTATTTCTTTATAAACAGTGGGCATTTAAAAACAAACTTCAAATCATAACACTTATAAGAACTGTAAATTCACCCTTTAAGAGCATTTACAACTCAACATTGAGTTCAAATTGCTCTACTGAGTTTAGGTTTCCCACCTGTGTGAAGCATGCCCTATCCCCTTTCCTCTACCAACAAATATTGGATCTGTTGGAAATGCGAGCTGTATTTCCACATTCAGTCCCTGCTCACCATTTTTAAAGGGTTGTAGGTCTTCTCAACTCATGAAAGACTACCTCCCTGCCTTCTCAGCTTACATCTCAGTCCAGTTTCTCATGAAAAAGAAAATAAAAATATTTCCTCACCTGTATTGTTCACTTCATTGATCTTCTGTATTAAGTTATATCTTAACTTTTAGAAGAAAAAGTTTCACCAATTTTTGTTTTATATTTAGTTATATGCATTTTGATAGTTGAATTACTCAGCATTGCAATCAATTTGCTATGGACATCTTAGCCAATTCCCATCGTAACCTTAGAAATGCGATGTTTAATCTATAGTTGTTTGTTTTCTTTTCCAACAAGTGGATGGGAACTGGAATGATTGGTCCAGTTGGAGTCAGTGTTCTGTCACTTGCTCAAATGGGACACAACAACGGACAAGGGAATGCAATGGACCTTCCTTTGGTGGAGCTGAATGTCAGGGTTATTGGTCTGAAAACAGGCCGTGCTTTCCAAGACAGTGCCCAGGTAAGCTTCATTCATTCAGATTGTGGCCTGTGCTTTTTTAGTGAATTGTTGAGGGATGCCATTTTAAAAAGGGAGAGGGAAAAGCTGACAGGGAAGAGCTTCAAGATTTCATTCTTGAATGCATTGTGAACCCAAATTCAAACCTTCAGTTTCCTTTAATAAGTTTAAAACTGTGGTCCTGATATGACGGGAAAGGTAATCAGGCCCCACAAGGCCGAGGGACTATTTTCTTTGTGGAAGATCCGGCATATGCCACAAGGAAGGTCTGCCACTGAGTCTGCCACAGCACCAAGGGCCGTGGCGAGGGGTTCTCAATTTTGAGAATCTTTGGAAGGTATCTTTTCCGGTATTGACATTTTGGCCACTACCAAATTAGGAAGGGACAAATAATGTGGTCCTGGAAAACAACCTCTTCTTCAAGGTTTCCTTGGCCATGAACAAATCTTGAGACGGTGTCTCTTTTTTAAAAATTCTCTGTTTAGATAACCATTTTCCTTTGACAGGTTGGGGTGGGGTGCTGCTGCGGGTGTGCAGTCCACGAACTAGAACTACCACAGCTGATATTTGCAACTGTTAAGTTTTGTTTTTCTGGCAGCTCAAGTGTAATGAAAGCTAAAGCCAAATAAACTTTCAAATAAACTTGGGAATTTTCCACTCCCTGCAGGACTCCTCATGTGTAAGTGTTGGGAATAATGGAGGTCACACTGCTAACAACCCTTAATGGAAACTCACCAGCCATCCTGGAATGTGGAAGCCTAATTTCAGAACATAATTTTTTTAACATTATTCTGTTCTGCAGATTTTTGGGATCCCTAATCTGAACAGGCACTTGCCTCATTTTTGTCCATATGTTCTACAATAGCTACAAATCCCAAAAACATGTTGATCACAGAGCTGCTGCGTATCCTCTTTTCATGCAGCAGCTCAATGTTGTTATATTTTTCTGGGTACTGCCAAAGTATTGCTCAGTGGTATAGTGAATCAGAGTCTAAAAACACTCTGATTATGTAAGTGACCTGAGTCTTGTTGAATATGATGAGGTTAATAATATGGAGCTGGTAATGTTGCATAGCAACTGGTGACTTGTGAAATGATCCCTACTTTGGCAGGATAGTTCCAGCCAATAATTTATTGTCAGAATTACTGAATTGAGCACTCTGCACTACATACCTTTGTGATGTGATTGTCTCCCTTGATTGGTAAGGTAGAATTTTCAGATTTATACTACTGTTTAAGCATACTGAGAGCAGGGTGACATGTAACCTGAAGAAATATGATGACAATATGACAGTCAGTTTCATCTCTTGTAAATGGTGAAATTGGATTAGTTGTAAGATGTTTTCAGCTGAGAATTAACCCTCTTTAACACTACTTTGGTGACATCCAAGTATTGTTGCAATGCCATACAAAATTCCAACATTGGCCATTTGGTGAGATAAGTTGCAAACCACAACGCTCTAGAATCATAGAGTCAGAGTCATACAGCATGGAAACAGACCCTTCTATCCAACTAGTCCAATCCGACCATGTTCCCAAACTAAATGAGTCTGACTTGTCTGCACTTGGCCCATATCCCTCCCAACCTTTCCTGTACTTATCCTGTACTTATTACTACACTGTACTTATTCAAATGTCTTTTAAATGTTGAAACTATACCTGCATTCATCACTTCCTCTGACAGTTCATTCCACACATGAATCACTCTGTGTAAAAAAAAATTGCCCTTCATGTCCTTCTTAAAACGTTCTCCTCTCACCTTAAAAACATGCCCCCCAGTTTTGAACTCCCTCACCTTAGGGAAAAGACCCTTGCTATTCAACTTATCTATGCCCCTCATGATTTTCTAAATCTTAATAATGTCACCCCTCAATCTCCTACTCTCCAGTGAAGAAAAGTCCCAGCCTATTTTTATAACTCATACCCTCCATACCCAGCAATATCCTGGTGAATTTTTTCTGAACCCTCTCCAATTGAATGATATAGTTTCTATAGTAGGGCAACTGGAACTGCACACTGTTACTCCAGAAGAGGCCTCACCCACATCCTGTACAACCTCAACATAATGTCCCAACTCCTATACTCAAAGGTCTGAGCAATGAAGGTCTAGCATGCTAAACACCTTCTTAACCATCATGTATACCTGTGACGCAAATTTCAAAGAAATATGAACCCAAATCCCTCTACATTATGTTCATATGATTTATACATTGGATGACAAGGGCTGAAGAGCACTAAGCCTCTATTTTTCCCTTTCCATACATAAAATAATGCTGACAGGAGGTAAGGGTTGAATTAACAAAACAGTGAAAGCTTTACAAAACTTCCTGAAGTATTTTTTGAATTTTCCCACACTGCTACACTTAAGCTTTCATTCCTTCAAAGATATACTTTTCCCCCACCATTTAATGGTCGAATTTTCTTTTCAGAAATGCCTAAAACTCCAACCACTAGGTATTAAGCTGTGAAATGAGCATTCATATTCTCATTTGTCAGAACAGTTTCACATAATAAGCTTTTTTAAAAATACAAACATAAAATATAATGAAACTGTCTGGGTGTAGGCTAGATTAAGTAGATGTTGCATGTGGGATATCTCTAAGATGGAGACAGCTGGATCTCTAGATATCATGCACTCTTCAAATTGAGATCCATTTAGCAACATTGACTTTTTGCTTTCCAGTAAATGGGAAATGGCAAAAATGGAGCATCTGGGAACCATGCACCAAAAGCTGCGATGGTGGGACACAGCTTCGAGTGAGGGTCTGCTCTGGGCCATTTTTTGGAGGACTGCAATGTGATGGACCTCAGGAGGAGTACAGATTGTGCAATGACAAAAAGTGCCCAGGTAAATATTTTGGGCTGTGGATATTTCCTAATCTAGAACTAATGAGTGTGATGCATTTGGGGAATGCTTTTTTGCCTTAACTTTCTGTATTACCAACTGAGGAAAATGTCGGTCATGGTTTCTATTCCACAAATAGTGACCGATTGAGGATTTGCAATATAGATTTACAAGCATAACACTGAAAATGAGAAACTGTACAGTTTGGAGAAAATTGAGATATGGGACTATTTAAAACAGCAAATGAAGAGCTGAAAGAGAATAAGAGGGTTCACATGAAATGGAGATATATCAAAAGAGATTGAAGAGACTAGTTTTTTTTGTCTGAAAATGAAGAGACTGAAATTTTTTTCATTATTCATCCATAGGGTGAGTCTATTGCTGGCTGGGCCAGCATTAATTGCCCATCCCTAATTGCTGAGAGGGCAGCTTGAGTCAACCACATTGCTGTGGTTCTGGAGTCATATATAGGCCAGACCAAGTAAGGATGGCAGATTTCCTTCCCTAAAGGACATTAGTGAACCAGATGGTTTTCCCAACATTTGACAATGGATTTATGGTGACAGTAGACAATTAATTCCAGATTTTTATTAAATTTAAATTTCACCATCTGCCACAGTGGGCTTTTGAACCTGAGTCCTCAGAACATTACCTGGGTCTCTGGATTAATTGTCTGGCAGTAATACCGCTAGGCCATCACCTGCCCTGATAGAGATCTTTTAATTATTTTTAAAATTTTGATTGTTTTCAACAGCGTAATTATACAGCATGCTTTTTCCAAAAAAAACTTAACAGCTAAGGGTCATAACCAGTGAATTGAATCGAAGAATCATAGAATCCCTACAGTGCAGAAGCAGGCCATTCAGCCCAACGAGACTGCACTGACGCACCAATGAGCATCCCACCCAGACCCATTCCCCCCACCAACCTTATTCCCTGTAATCCTCCATTTCCTATGACTAATCCACCTAATCTACACATTCCTGGTCAGTATGGGCAATTTAGCATGGCTGATCCAACTAACCTGCACATTTTTGGACAAATAACAATATAAAAACAGGAAAACCCCACTGTACTCAGAAGAGTGGAAATATGGAATATTTAAGGTGAAGCAAGAAATGTACAAAGGAAAGAAGAGTCAACCGAATGGGAAGAGGTTCATGTCGAGCATAAATAGACCTGATGTTTTGAAAGATTCTGTACCTCTGCTGCAATCAATGTAAATTTCATGGCACAGAATTTAGAGTTGTTTGCTTGTGTTTGGATTGCTTTAGGAAGTTTTTGTTATTTTTTAGAATTTGTTCTTTCATTGCATGTGACCATCACTTAGCAAGGCCAATATTTGTTACCCATACTTAATTGCCCCTTGAACTGACCCCCTTGCATTTCAGAATGAACTACATTGACTTGGGTCTGGATTCAGTTGTAAGTCAGGGCAGGTAAGAATGGTAGATCCCTTTCCCAAAAGGGTAATAGTGAAACAGATGGGTTTTTGTGCCAATTTAAGTTAGGTTCATGGACCAGAATGATTGACTAATTCAATTTAAATTCCACCAGCTGCTATGGTAGGATTTGAACACAAGCTCATAGAGCAATAGTCTGGCCTCTGGATTATAAGTCCAGTGACATAAAAACTACTCTGCTATCTCTCCCATCAAAATGAAGTGAACATTATTACATTGAGTGGATAATTATTTGCAGCAGAGAAAGGAACTGAGTTATGGGTGATAGGATATCAGGATTCACTTTGAGTACTTACTGTGAAGAGTTGGACTGAATGGTTTCCAGTATCGTAATGGCGGAGTCTTGCTGTGGTGCCATCAGCTGCATGGAGGTCCAGCAAAAGACTCTTTTTGTCTCTTTATGGGAAGGACCAACAAACCACAAGCCAAATGGACAGTTCCCAGGCCACCAGTGGTCTTTTCCCTAAGAATTAAGACCCCGCAGACAGAAGTCACACTGACCAATAAACAGCGGAAAGCTTTTGTGCACAGCCGCACCAGATGCTGAGGCCATGCAGGAAGCATACCCATGACAGTTAAAGGCCTGAAGAGAGACTGAAGTCACTGGTGAGGTGTGCGTATGCGTGTGCATGTGTGTGCACATGTACGTGCATGTGTGTCCTGGACTATGTGCTGAAGGATGCGCTAAAGCCTGGGGCAGCTGCTGCCATGGTGTAGTGGGGAAAGCGCACCGTCTAAGGGTTTTCCGCTGAAGCTAAATTAGGGTCTGTTCAGTTATCGGACTCTCCCAATGCTGCTAATAAATGTAAGTATAATCTTGTATAACTAAGAAATGCCTTTTTTATTATGCTGGATAGAGTCAAACTCCAAAGTTTGTTCGTTTCCCCATATGCTACTATACAGAACAGAACTGCTTTAGTGACTATGTATGTAAACATATTTTTATGAATACAATATATTTTCAAAATACATGTTTTTAAAAATAATATATGTATGCATGCACATTTGCATGCATTGGGGGGAGTGTGAGGGTGTTGGTTTTGCAAGAAGTTGCAGGGAAAGAGGATCCATAGGCATTGTTGCCAACGACAGATCAGTGACCCTCCTCGACCGTGCCTTTGATCAAGAAACCCCCAACCCCCACCCAGTGATGACAACCTGACTGCATGACATCAGCTGCTGTGCACGTTGAATGCCAACAGGCCTGCCTGAAGCTGACTTAATCCCAACAGGGGCAGAATGAAGCTTTGAGTGGTCACCAATTGGCTAATTAAGGGGTTCAGTTGGCAGTGCTTCGACCATGGGCTGATCTCCAGGAACTAATGATCAACCACCAATCCACTGCCATGTGCAACCCTGGAGAAAAATCATCGAGACATTAAAAAAAAACTTTCTGTTGTCATTTTCTTGGACTGTTTCTCTGTATCACATGTAAAATGTTGAAGATCAGAAAGAAATGCCGGCTGGCTGACACTTAAGCATCATCTAATTGGATAATGATTCTTTTTGTTTTCTAATTAGTGTAGGAAGTGACAAGCATAGATGTATTGGCCAACTGATGGCTGCATCATTGGGTAGGGGAGGAGGGGATATCAGGTGATGAAACATCCAGGAATACATTCAATTACAGTTGGCAACCGAACTTCATAGGGTCATACAGTATAGAAGAGACCCTTCAGGCCATCGAACTTGCTTTGAAAAAGTTAGTTCAGTGACTTACATTATTTCAGGTAGAAATAGGAAGGTGGCAAGGTTCGGGTTGACGAACACCCGATCTAATTAAGTGCCTGATTCATCTCCAAGCTCACCAACAGCCTGACAGCAGAAGATTACTGCTGCCTCACAGCACCAAAGACCTGGGTTCAATTCGTTCTCCTTGTGTCTGGGTGGGTTTCCGTCAGGTGCTCCGGTTTTCTCCCACAGGTCAAAGATGTGCAAATTAGGTGGATTGGCTACGTTAAATTGCCCCATAGTGTTCAAGAATGTGGAGACAAGGTGAATTAGCCATGGTAAATGCGGAGTTATTGGAGTAAGGTAGAGGACTGGATCTGGGTGAAATGCTTTTTGGATGGTTGGCGCAGACTTGATGGGCCGAATGGCTTCTATCTGCACTGTAGGGATTCTGTGATTTTATGATTCTGCCCATAGGTTTAATTCAGCGGAGGAAGGCAAGGAGTCAGTGTGGATTGTCTGAGCAGTTGCCTTAAAAAATAATCATTGGTTGGAGAAGGGAATAGGTCTCTGTAAACCTCTTTTCATTTAGAAAACTTTGTGTAATGAGACAAAGCTGGAAGGAAGCAAGGAACTAAATGACTATATATGAATAATAGATGGCTATGAATGGGGCACAAGGTATTAACACATTCAAAAGGACTCTGATGTTTAACTCATCATGTTATTATAAGCAATTGCTGACAGTTGCTGCTGTGAGACACAATTATTAAACTGCTGAGGACTACACCTAAATTAACTGTGTGCTCAGCTACTTAGCAACCAACGGATAGTGTTTCCATGGCTACTGTTTCAAAATGGTTGTCAAGGTTTCTCTTTAAAACAGAACCACATAAAGAAGTGACAAAGATAATTATAATAAAAAAGCAAATGCCAAGGTCATGGTGGGAGGGATTATGTTTTTATATTAATAAAACCAATTTGTACATGGTTAGAAGTGAAGAATAAGGCTTTGAAATTCTTTTGAACACCTCACAAGCTGCCTAATAGCTCTGCAGCACAGGAAGGATGGTAAAGACAACATTCATTTTCTAAAAAGTGTATCACTAAAGGTCAAAGATACAAGAATAAAATATATTGTCTCAGCACTTAAATACAGTGGAACATCCTCTTATTGTCTTTAATGTTTCTACATCAGTGCCACTTTTTGCCTAAATTTCACAAGTGTTTGAAATTGGAATTACACAGCTCTGTCCCTTTCGTGAACTGGCATCCACAGTGAAGGCATATCAGACCCTGTACAGTTAAAATTCTCCTCAACAGGAAGAATATATTATCAGCACAAGTTGCATTTAAACAGATAGTTCAGCTTTTATGAATTCATTCTTGGCGTAAGGCTAACACACATGTTGCACATCGACTAATGCCCTCATGTCATGGCTGTATGTCAATTTCTTGAACCGTTGTAGTTAAGTTTTCTTTTATCCATTGATGATATGTGGATGTCTCTGGCTGGGCCAGCATTTATTCCCAATCTCCAGTTGCTGTTGAGAATGTGATGGTGAGCTATCTTCTCTAATCGCTACAGACTGTCTGGTTGAGATAGTCACTCTGTGACATAAGGGAGGGAGTTCCACGATTTTAACCTGGTAGCACTGAAGAAACAGCAATATATTTCCATGTCAGGATGGTAAATGGTTTGGAAGGAAACATGTAGGTGGTGGTGTTCTCATCTAAGTGCTGTTCTTGTCCTTTGAGATGGTCATGGTCGTGTGTTTGGAAGGTGCTGTCAAATGAGCCTTGGTGAATTCCTGCAGTGCATCTTGTAGATTGTACATGCTGCTGGTACTGAAGGTCAGTGGTGGATGG